GGGGGAACCATGTCGAGTGTGGGTGTGGACTCGAGGAAGGTGCTCGCTTGTCGGGCTTGGCTGAACTTCAGGTCGATGTTCCGCAATGTGCCACGTAATACATTTGCCGGAACCTGTGGGGGTTAATCAACAAAATACACAGTATGTCAAATAAGAAGCACACCTTGGCTTGATTTTGAATAGCAGAATAGGAGGGAGGAGGAGCGGAAGAGGACAGAGGTACAACAGAACATTGGGCTCATAGAAAGCTCCCCCATGCCAATAAACTTGGTACCAACAAAGTGGCAATCACTGGTACATGTGTGATCACAGGGGGCTAGGTGCGACAGACCGCAGGAGCAAGAAGGAGCGAGCTACAGGTGGTGGGGGCAAGAGGACTTGTATGGGAGGAGACAAGAAAGAACAAGAAAACGACAAGTCCAACTCGAACCATACATCAACGGAGCTGCCAGCGGACTTTAAATTTCACTTTGGTGTTCGGACCTGTTCGGACCTGCACGCTTGGGCCTCCCGCACCCAGTCCCGCACCGATACACACCTCAACTTTCTGTAAGTGCATTGACCAAATGCTTGTATTCGTTGCCAGCGAGGCAATGGTCACCAAGTTGACAGGTCCATGATATAAGTAGATCTACCTCACCACCATGTCCTACTCACGATAAAGATGAGATACGCGCCTCAGATTATTGAAAGTGCATTGACCAAATGTTCGTATTAATTATTAGCAAGTCAATGATCACCAACTTGACAGGCCCTCGATATGACTAGATATGGCCTGATCTGCCCTAGCATCTTTTTGTTCACACGATACTCCCATCTAGAGATATCTTGATCGGTCCGTTTTCCTGATGTGTGCGCAATAGCCTTGGAGCACAACCAGTCATTAGTACCGTCAAGCCAGTCGTTTGAAACCCAAATAATATCCAGCTAACTCCCGGCCTTCAAACACACCCACACACCCACTACATATGGCTCAACTCACTAGTCCCTGGTCCTCCCCATTTGAATCATGGCACTCCCGAGCTCTCCTCAACCCCTTCCCATCACCTTACAGCTTCACACCCTCCCAAGACCGCCTCATCCTCACCATGATCCTCAACGCCCAAACCGAGCCCGAGGGGCTCAGCCTCGCCTTATTCTCGCTTCCAGACTCCACCGAGACCATCGCAGTCGACGCGCGCGGACGCGTGCTCCTTGTATCTGAGAAAGACTCCCAAGGCCTTCTGGCGCTCGCCCAGACGGCCCTTGCGCTCCCGAAGACTGGTAGATTCTGGAACGGGTGGAGCGTGAAGCAGAATGTTTCGTGCTTTCCGGTCCATCGGCTCTTCGTGTCGACGTCGGCGTCGGAGACCCCTGGGAGTGACGGGGAAGCGTTCCACCAGATAAGTGTGGCGGGATACTCGAAGGAGAAGAGGGTGCTGTCGGACCCGGTGGGGAAATACACGGAGCTGCCGGATGCGCTGTGGGAGCTGTTTGGGTTGGTGTTGGAGGCGAGGGCCGATGCTGGATCTCGGTGGGATAATCAGCGCGATGAAATGGTACTTGGGAAAGTGAGAGAGGCTTTGGAAGGGGTGATTACAATTTAGTTATCATGATAGACATATTTCGCGAGCCGTTGGCGGGATTTCGAACAATCAATAATATCTACCTGAAGTCAGGACAGGCATTTAGAAGTTGAGCAAGTATAAGTATAGCAAGACAATAACAAAAATTCCCCTCGAAATCGATCAACGACGCCAGCAGGATTTGAACCTGCGCCCTCAAAGAGGAACAGATAGATATCGGTTAAGATTCGAATCTGTCGCCGTAACCACTTGGCTATAGCGCCTGGACAATTGTCGACACCTTCGGCATCACTCTAGTCCCCCCTGACTGGTTCAGCCGTACGAGAGGCGTCGTGAATTTGCTGGAGGGATGATCGATGATTGATGGAGGGGGATCCGTAGAAGAAAAACTTGGAACTCAAAAGTCGAACGCAGCCTTTTGTAAAAGAATTTTACAAAAGATTTGGAGTCACGTGTAGATGTGTCCCACGCCACAGTCGCGTCTTTCTTTTCAAGTTCGTCTCGTTTTGATCCGCCCCTTGAAGGGTCTCTTCAGTTTCTCTCCTGCGTTCTCTTCCGGTTCTCAACGAGTGTGACAATCGACCTTAGCAGCCGAACACGGATCCGAAGGACACAGACTTGGCGGACGTCTTGGTGTGCATACAGTTTAAATTCGAGCTTCATCAAGGTTCGTCCAACTTCCTATCCCAAGTCGCCTAACTTCTTACAGGACTAATATTTGAGCCTCGCATTAGCAGGACCCTTATGACGCGTGTGCCTCAAGAGTCTCATCGATTTCGTGGCGAAGATAAGAATCCATCAGCCCACATGACAATCTCTGCACACGAAAATAGCCATTTTTTCGGAAACCGCTTCGCCTGCCGTGTCAAAAGCCCAACAGAAGCCCAACACGCGTCGAGCCACGCTCTGAACACGTCTCGTAAATGTTTAGAAGGAGACTCGAAGATTCCAGGGCTACCGACATGACCGTGAACACGAGGCCACGTGATGGTCATCACCTCTGACAGTGACCAGCTCACCAAGCAAACGTGCAACTTCGGGCCTGAGATTTCGATGAGACATGGTTTTAGGCGCCTCTTATCAACTCTTCGACCACACGCATCAGGACCTCCCAGTTTTCGTATACAACATCGCACTATCATGAATTACTACCAGCCCAGCAAGGATAGGGATTACATCCCCCTGGCGGACCATGCACTGTGGGTTTCCATGACATGACGTCGTGGAAGTCGATCTCTGATGGTTTTTGGATAGGATTGGGAATTTGCGCACGGCGGCTCTTGTTTCTCTCGATGGATCTAGTGAGTGTCGATATCGGTTTGTGGGGTGTTTATAGCCGACGTGGCTCGTAGTTGAGAGCTACTGTGTGCCCAACTTCGATTCGCCATCGGTATTTGCGCGGATCCTCGACAAGAACAAGGGAGGCCACTTCTCGATCATGCCCACCGTGCCATTCACGGTCAAGCAAAACTATCTTCCGAGTTCCAATGTATGTCTGGCGTACGATCCATTATGTTACCTTGACCAACAACGTCCGCAGGTCCTCCAAACCAAGTTCATGAACGAGCAAGGCGTCGCGAGCGTGACCGACTTCCTCCCTCGCCCCAGCGCAAGCATCTCCCCAGGCAAACCCCTCCTCCCATGGCTCATCCGTCGCGTCGAGTGCATCCGCGGGTCAATGCCCCTAATGATGCAATGCGCGCCCGCCTTTAACTACGCGCGCGACACGCACACCACCGAGCTCGTGCCAGACACCTCCATCCCCCCCACCGAGGGCTCCAAGCCCTCGTCCCACACCCACGCCAAAGTCGCATTCACCAGCAGCGGGGGGTTCACGCTGGACCTGCGGTACATCGCGGAGAAGACGGGGGACGCCGCGGAGGTGCCGAGCGTCGCACTCGGGACGCTTGACCTCACGTCGAAGGGGCACAAGGGCCTCGCGGCGTATGCGGGCCTGCAGCTCTCTGAGGGGCAGGCGGTAACGTTCGTCCTGCGCACGCCGCCGGAGGACGGGCATGTCGCGCCCTCGCTTGGATCGGGGCCCGAGGCGATCAATAAGGCGGAGCTCGAGCGCAAGCTGATTGCACCGCTTGGCGCTAAACGATCGGTGCAGGACCCGTTCTTGACTAAGGAACTTCTGCACAGCCTGCTTAGCACCACGAATCGATACTGGTATGAGTGGATCCGCCACTCGACGTACACCGGCTCGTGGAAGGAGGCCGTTCACCGCAGTGCGCTTGCGCTCAAGCTGCTCATTTTCGAACCGACTGGTACGTGCCTGTGGCCTGTCTGGTCCCCTCCTCGGCTCATTCAGTTTCTGCAGGCGCTGTCGTCGCAAGCCCGACCTTCTCCCTGCCCGAGTTCATTGGTGGCACACGCAACTGGTACGTCGGCAGTCTTGTCTTTCTTCCTTCCTTCATCCTGCTCATCGCACTTTTCTAGGGACTATCGGTAGGTTTCATGCTCAGGCCCAACAGCACACGTACTCACCACAAGCCATACAGTGCCTCTTGGATCCGCGATTCCTCCTTCACGCTCTACGCGCTCCTCCGTCTCGGATTCACCCACGAAGCCAACGGTCGGCCCATCTTATCTTATTCTCACATCCCCACAATCACTTAACATTCTCTTCTCATCCCCTAGCGTACATGGAGTTCATCTTCGAACGCCTGCGCAATAAGAACCCCGACGGGAGTCTTCAGATCATGTATACCATTCACGGTTGGGCCCCTTATTTTGCTAGGATTTTGCCCCGATGGCTTATAGGTCTTACGATGCAGGTGGGAAGGACTTAGAGGAAATAGAGCTAACGCACCTCGATGGGCACAAGGGCTCTAAGCCTGTGCGTATCGGGAATGGTGCTGCAGACCATATCCAATTGGTACGTCTGTCTTCGGCTCTTGATGGTGCAGTTTTGACATGGCGAGTTAGGACATTTATGGGGAACTGTGTGTGCCGTTTGTTTGAACAATCGCTTTCCAACTCATTCCGTGTACAGCATGGATTGTATCTATCTTGGACAAAAGGTCTATTGAGCCCTATTTTCCGAGTCGCATTCGATTGTTGACCATGATACTCGACAGTTCGGAAAGCCTCTCGTAAGTGCTTGATTTATTTTGGACTTTCGAGGCATCATTGTCGTTCAACAGAGCTATGACGATTGGTGCGTAGGCGACTTCGTATACCCGTGCAGGTGTCCTTATGAAAGTATAAAGGGTCCTTGTTCGTGAACTGTGAGCATCGTCCTCAATATCTTTGCAGTATAGTTGATTGGGCTGTCTCTTGCAGAGTGGATTGTAAGCCAACGCTGGCTTCCGCCGTTTACTCACACTCAACTCCCATGTTTCAGTCGTTGTTGCCAACTATACACAACCAGATTTGTGAGTACCCTCCACATTGTATTCACGTTCTCCCGTCTTCTGTTGATGATCTTGGTGCCGTGCTAACATCTCCCGTCGTACAGGTCGATATGGTCAGTAAAACTATTTGAGTTACCGGTCTGTCGATTATTGTGGGCCCACAGGGAAGTCCGCAATAAGAAGAGGCACTTCACGTACTCTAAGGTGAGTTATTGTGTGTCATCAAGATTGACTACGATTCTCACTCGATGGTAGATCATGCTCTGGTGCGTTCCCATATTGTCTTCGCCTTTCGAATGACCTCCAACGTTGTTTTCGACACAGGGTCGCCATCGACAGAGGTCAGCACGTCCCCTCTTCTCGCCCTTGTAATATCAATCGTCCGACTTTCTTTTCCCAGGATTGCGGCTCGCGGAAAAACGTTCCCTACCTTGCCCAAATCGCCAGCGCTGGCTCTCGGCTCGCGACGAGCTGTACGAGGAGATCATGAACAAGGCTTGGAATGCCGAGGGAAAGTATTTCGGGCAGAGCTATGAGGAGACGGCCGTTCTCGACTCGGCGGTGCTCATCATGCCCCTCGTGTTCTTCATGCACGGTGTTCGTTGCACCTTCCATCGTTGCTCGTCGACCTGCTGACCGGTTACACTGACAGTCGGACCCGAGGTTCGTCAGCTCACTCAAACAGATCTTGAAGACGCCGGAACGAGGCGGCCTCACGTCAAACGTGTGTATTTGAGATTCAATTGAGGAGCCTTCTGTGTGATACTAATTGGACATGTTGCGTAGAACTTGGTATACCGGTATGATACGAACAAGTCTGACGACGGCGTCGGTGGAGAAGAGGGGACGTTCTGTCTTTGCACCCTGTGGTATGTCACTGTTTAGGTCGGGACTTCGCTTGCTACTAATGTCGCATTGATCTGTAGGTGCGTAGAAGCGTTGACGCGGGCCGGCGAATACGACAAGGCGCTTCTTCCACGTGCTGTGTCAATGTTTGAGGTGTGTTCGGCGAAGCATGGAATGTAAGGCAAGGTCGCTAACAACCGTTGTGACGCAGGACTTCTTGATGTACCTCAATCACGTGGGGCTTTGCACCGAAGAAATCTCAGAGGCAGGCGAGGCGTGCGTGTTGTTCCTTCTCAAGACTTATAATTACTTCTAAATATCTGATCATCTGCCCTGCGGGCGTTTAGTCTGGGAAACGCGGTTCAGGGATTCACGTAAGCCACAGCTTTGCTTCGAGGACACGTCGCGACTCACTCACGACTGTGATTTGTAGCCATGTTACCCTCATTTCCGCTGCTTACAACCTGTCGAGGACCTTGGCAAAAGTCAAGTAGGCAAGCTATGCGCGCGGAAGGAGGGAAGGAACTCATCTACTGTCGAAACAAATCAAATGTATCATGTTGTATCACCATCTATTTGAAGACTGATTGCGGGGCATTGCCCGTCGACATTTCCCCCATTGTGTTGGGACTTGTGAAGGCTACGCACGCATGAGGATTTTTTTTTGGCACCGTTGGAACACAGCCGGGTCTGATTCTGTTGTCTGTGTTTTGGAAATTTTATGTTCATCACATCACATCAGAAAGGTTAGCGACGGCCGAAGGCCAACCCTCCACCCAGACCAGACTAACATACATAGATCAAACCTTACCTTGGCATCACCCAACTGTGTTCGGAGGCACTCTTCGACCGTAGTGTTATGCCTATCCACGTGAGTCGCATGGTCTGTGGAAGGTCCAGTCCTAACGCGTTCCAGGCTATCCCGCGCGTCGAACATAACTTTGGCCGCCCATAATTCAAGGATTTCGAATTCTCATAAATACACATCCTGATTCACGCCCAGCGTGGATAATGCGAACTTCTTAGCCATACTTTGAGAAGGTATCAAAGATCCAAGC